CCTGGTGGCTCAGTGGTAGAGAATCTGCCTGCCAATGCAGGAGACACAGGTTTGATCCCTGAGTTGGGAATATCCCCTGGAGAAAGATGTGGCAACCCACGCCAGTATTCTTGCCTGGGGAATCCTATGGACAGAGGAGCCCGGCGGGCTATGGACCATGGGGTCCCAAAGGGTCGGACAGGAATGAGTGACTAAACAACAACAACAAGGATGAGGATCATGAAATCAGCTCCTGAGAATATCTATCTAAAGGCCTGTTCCACCAGTTTCCCTGGAGCACAGAGTGTCTCACTCTCCACCCTGAACTCCCTTCAGGGAGTGGCGAAGGTCAGCAGCTGCAGTAACTCAGGGAGACGGCAAATGCCCTTGCCGTTGCTGTTCAGTCGCTGGCAGTCTGTAGTCGACAGATGTTACCTGAATGAGTTCACCTCTTGGTGGGTGCTGAGCCTAAAGACAGGACTAAGCCAGAGCAAGGCAAAAGGAAGGATTTATTATCACTTTCACTCCAGTCCCAAAGAAAGGCAATGCCAAAGAATGCTCAAACTACTGCACAATTGCACTCATCTCACATGCTAATAAAGTAATGCTCAAAATTCTCCAAGCCAGGCTTCAATAGTACATGAACTGTGAACTTCCAGATGTTCAAGCTGGATTTAGAAAAGGCAAAGGAACCAGAGATCAAGTTGCCAACATCCGCTGGATCATAGAAAAAGCAAGAGAGTTCCGGAAAAATATCTATTTCTGCCTTATTGACTATGCCAAAACCTTTGACTGTGTGGACCACAAAAAACTCTGGAAAATTCTTAAAGAGATGGGAATACCAGGCCACCTGACCTGCTTCGTGAGAAACCTGTATGCAGGTCAGGAAGCAACAGTTAGAACTGGACATTGAACAACAGACTGGTTCCAAATAGGAGAAGGAGTACGTCAAGGCTGTATATTGTCACCCTGCTTATTTAAGTTACATGCAAAGTACATCATGAGAAATGCTGGGTTGGATGAAGCACAAACTGGAATCAAGATCACCAGGAGAAATATCAATAACCTCAGATATGCAGATGACACCACCCTTATGGCAGAGAGTGAAGAGGAACTAAAAAGCCTTTTGATGAAAGTGAAAGAGGAGAATGAAAAACTCAACATTCAGAAAACTAAGATCATGGCATCTGGTCCCATCCCTTCATGGCAAATAGATGGGGAAACAGTGGAAACAGTGGCTGACTTTATTTTTCTGGGCTCCAAAATCACTGCAGATGGTGACTGCAGCCATGACATTAAGATGCTTACTCCTTGGGAGAAAAGTTATAACCAACCTAGACAGCATATTAAAAAGCAGAGATGTTACTTTGCCAACAAACATCCGTCTAGTCAAGGCTATGGTTTTTCCAGTAGTCATGTATGGTTGTGAGAGTTGGACTATAAGGAAAGCTGAGCGCCGAATAATTTATGCTTTTGAACTATGGTGTTGGAGAAGACTCTTGAGAGTCCCTTGGACTGCAAGGAGATCCAGCCAGTCAACCCTAAAGGATATCAGTCCTGGGTGTTCATTAGAAGGACTGATGTTGAAGCTGAAACTCCAATACTTTGACCACCTGATTCAAAGAGCTGACTCATTTGAAAAGACCTTGATGCTGGAAATGATTGAAGGTGAAAGAAGAAGGGGACAACAGAGGATGATATGGTTGGATGGCATCACCACCTCAATGGTCATGAGTTTGAGTAAACTCCGGTGTTGGTGATGGACAGGGAGGCCTGGTGTCCATGGGGTCACAAAGAGTCGGACACGACTGAGTGACTGAACTGAACAGCAGTAAGTAAGGAGAACACCAGGGATCTCTCCCAAGACAGTGTCTCCTCAGACAGCAAAACTGGGAAAGTTTTTTTTTTTTTTGTTAGCATAATTTTATTTTATTTTATTTTTTTTATTTTAATTTTTTTATTTTAATTTTTTTTTTATTAGTTGGAGGCTAATTACTTTACATCATTGCAGTGGTTTTTGTCATACATTGAGATGAATTAGCCATGGATTTACATGTGTTCCCCATCCCGGTGCCCCCTCCCACCTCCTTCTCCACCCGATCCCTCTGGGTCTTCCTAGTGCACCAGGCCCGAGCACTTGTCTCATGCACCCAACCTGGGCTGGTGATCTGTTTCACCCTAGATAATATACGTGTTTCGATGTTGTTCTCTTGAAACATCCCACCCTCGCCTTCTCCCAGAGTCCACAAGTCTGTTCTATACATCGGAGTCTCTTTTTCTGTTTTGCATATAGGGTTATCATTACCATCTTTCTAAATTCCATATATATGTGTTAGTATACTGTAATGGTCTTTATCTTTCTGGCTTACTTCACTCTGTATAATGGGCTCCAGTTTCATCCATCTCATTAGAACTGATTCAAATGAATTCTTTTTAATGGCTGAGTAATATTCCATGGTGTATATGTACCACAGCTTCCTCATCCATTGGTCTGCTGATGGGCATCTAGGTTGCTTCCATGTCCTGGCTATTATAAACAGTGCTGCGATGAACATTGGGGTGCACGTGTCTCTTTCAAAACTGGGAAAGTTTTAAGCTAAGGGTGCATGCATACTCATGAAGGGGTTTGGGTGGCCAACAGAGTCCAAGCTCTAGTTGATTAAAGTTACAAGGGTCAGAAAAGGTCAACGTCATCATCCCTGAGGTTCTGATCTGGTGGTTGAGCACTTGAGGCTAATCTTTACCATTGAAATAGAACTGAGAGTCTTTACCACTGGTACATTATCTTTGCTATTGTTACTCGTCTTGTATGCTAACCCTCTTTGGCTTCTGCATTCTTTTATTCCCTTTAGTTCACTGATTACTGAGAACTATTCAAGGGCAAGCCTTGTGGCTGGGCTCAGATCACAGAATGACTTCTCAGGTCTAAAATGGATTCTCAGGTTTCCATGGTGGCTCAGTGGTAAAGAATCTACCTGCCAATGCAGAAGACAAGGGTTCAAACCGTGGTCCGGGAAGATCGCACATGCTGAGGAGCAGCTAGGCCTGTGTGTTCTCCACTCTGTTGAGCTTATGCTCCGGAGCCTGGGAGCTGCAACTCCTGGGCCCACACACCCGAGAGCCCCTGCTCCACAAGAGAAGTCACTGAAATGAGACGCTCAAGCACCGCAACTAGAAAGTAGCCCTTGCTTGCCGCAACTATAAAAAAGCCCACACAGCAACAAAGACCCAGCGCAGTCAAAAATAACTAAATAAGTGAATTTGTTTTTAAATGGCTTCTCTTGTGTCAGGAAAGCCATGCCTCGTTCTTTTTCTCCAGGGACCCTCTACCCTATCTGCTTACAAGAGGAGACAGACAAGAAATGTATGTTTTGAAGTTTCATGGAGATTTCTGCCTCTGACCAAGATGAAATAACAAGGAAAGGACTAGATGTGTTTTACTGCCTGAGGCAAGCAAAATCACAAAAACAAATACTGAAACAGAAAATGGCAACCCCCTCCAGTAGTCTTGCCTGGGAAGTCCCATGGACAGAGGAGCCTGGTGGTCCTGTCTGTGAGTCCTTCTGTTTCTCTGCTGTATTCATCTGTTGCTGCATCAATGCCATGGTTTTATTTATTTTTGGCCGCACCTGTTGACATGTGGGATCCTATTTACCTGACCAGGGATCAAACCCAAGTCCCCTGCACTGGAAGCATGGAGTCCCAACCACTGGACCACCAGAGAAACTCCCAGAGTTTTCATTACTATGGTTTTGTAATATGGCTAATATTTGGTAGAGCAAGCCCTCTTCTCTTTCCTCTCTAATGCTGACTTAGTTATTCTTCCATACGGCTTCCCAGGTGGTGCCAGTGCCCTGTAAAGAACCTGCCTGCCAGTAAAGGAGACCTAAGATACCTGATTCGATCCCTGGGTCAGGAGGATCCTCTGGAGGAGGGCATGGCAACCAGCTCCAGTATTCTTGCCTGAGAAATCCCATGGACAAAGGAGCCTGGCAAGCTACAGTCCATAGCATCGAAGAGTTGGATACGACTGAAGTGACTCAGCACACATGCATGCATTCCTCCATACACATTTTAGAATAGGTTTTATCAAGTACCTCAAAAAATCCATCCAGAATTCTGATTGAAGCTGCTTTGAATTATTGACTAATTTGGAGAGAATTGACATGTGGATAATACTAAGATATCTTACGCAAAGGCATGGATAGTCTCATTTTTTCCCACATTATCTTCTATATCCTTTATTGGCATATTGATGCTTTTTCCATTAAGGATTTATGTATCTTTAAGGTATTAAATAGACTAGTTTTTGTAGCTACTGAGAGCCGAACAAGTTTGTTTTGCTTTTTGATGCCAGATCTCCAGAACACATTTTTTAAATAGCTTTATTGGTTGTGGCAGTATTAGTGAAATGACACTGATTCTTGTAGGCTTATCTTGTATCAATCATGGTACACCTTTTATGAATAGCCTTACTGCCCTCTTTATTATAAAGGCGAGTAGTATTTCTAAAACATTTAAGCCAATTGTGATTAACGATCATATCATCAGTGTGACCCCATTTCTATTTACAAAGCTTCTGGTGGTGATCAAAGATGGGCGAGTGCTTTGCAGTAGCAACCTCCGCAGCCAGCTCGTAATTAAATGCTGGCTGAGCCCCCTGGAGTAACTGACCTTTGGGGTGTAGTTTAAAACAAGTCGCGTAGCCACGAGGGGGCGCTAAGGCTTCACGTCCAGTCGAGGAGGGTTACTCTGAGCGGAGAATGTGGCCACCAGGAGGCGCTGTTATTGGTCCAGCACCTACCGGGTGCCAGGCGCTGCTCCTGACGTTAGGAATACCGCTGGGCCTAAGGAGCTAATATTCTTAAAGAAGGGGAAGGTAGGGGGCTTCCCTGGTGGTTCAGTGGCTCAGTGGTAAAGAATCCGCCTGCAAAGCCGGAGACGCAAAAGGCACAGGTTCGATCCCTAGGTTGGGAAGATCTCCTGGAGGAGGGCATGGCAACCCACTCCAGTATCTTTACCTAGAGAATTCCATAGACGGAGGAGCCTCGTGGGCTGTAGCCCATAGGCTCGCAAAGAGCCAGACACGACAAAAGCGACTGAGCAAGTGACCAGGGAGGGTAGACAGAAAATAACAAAAATTTCAGGGTGTGATAAATCCTGTGGAGAAAATTTATTGGGACAGGATAGCGACTGTGTGGCTTCTTAGATAAGGGGCTCAAGGACACCTGTCTGAAATTACATCTAAATGATGAGGGATTCTGAATAGAGTGCTCAGGCAGAGAAACATCTGAGAGTCCAGGAGAGGAAGAGCCTCCTGGAAGTGAAGGTGGGGGAGGGAAAGAGGAGGATGAAGGCAGAATGATGACAGGTGAGCGGGGTGGAGAGTGGAGGGAGAGACTTTGGTTTCTCTTCTGAAGCCGAAAGAAGCCCATGGAGGGAGCAAGGTGGAAGAAGATTAAAAAGTAAGAGGGGCTTCCCTGAAGGTCCAGTGGTTTGAACTCTGTTTGAACCCCCGACCCGGGTTCAATCCAAGATCCCACAAACTGAGAGGTGAAGCCAAAATTTACAAACAAAGAAAAAAAAAGTGAGAAAAAGCATTATTTGGCTAAGTGGAAAACAAGATCACAGATCCCTGGGAAGCAGGGTGAGGTGAGTGTGGCAATAATGCAAAGCTAGTAGGTCAGGTACACTGTGTCCTTTGTGACTTTTCCTCAACAGAGGGGCTGTGATTCAGTGTCCCCGGGGACATTTTGTTGGCCAGGGATGGTGGCTGTAAAGAGTTAATGGTTCAGTCCTCCCCCCCCCCCCCCCCCGCCAGTGATAAGGTTGATCATAATGCTAATAAGCATTATGTACTCCGCCGCTAGTCTATGATCGATCCATTTAAACTTCACAACCACCCTGGGAGGCAGGTACTATTATCATCATCTTCATTTTACAGGTGTGGACACTTGAAGCATGTGGACACAGAGGGGTTAAGTGATTTGCACTAGACCACACAGCTACAAAGTAGAACAGATGGCCTTTGAATCCAGGCATTAACCCCAGAGCTCATGCTCTTACCCACTATGGTATGCTGCTTCTCGATCCTTTTGTTCTAGCCATGTTCTCAGTCAAATTGTATTGCCCTTTATTTTTAAAAATGTTTTGGCTGCACCACACAGTATGTGGGACCTAGTTCCCCAGTCAAACCCATGGGCCCTGCATTAGAAGCGCAGTCTTAACCACTGGAACGCCAAGGAACTCCCTGCATTGCCTTTTCAATAGGCTATCTCAGAGAGCTGTTAGCAGTCACTAACACCTTAGTATGAATTAGTACACTTCTTCTTGCCACTGAAGAACTGCAGTTTACGCTAAAGCGACAGCTTATAAGGACACTGTAGCGAAGTAGTAGTTGGGTTCTGGAGTCATAATGCCTAGAATTGAAACCAAGTGCCACTTCCCAGCTGAGTGACTGGGGGCAACGGACATCACTATCTGGGCCTCAGTTTCCTCACGGGTGAAGTCCCCACTTTACAGATGAGGAGAGGCCCAACACATGGCATACCCAAGACTTCGCTTGGATGCCAGGAGGAGGGATTCCTCCCTCACACTCTGTATCCAGTTGTGTGGAGGGGAGGGGGCACTGGAAGCCTGAGGTCTGTCTGCATAGGGACAGCAAGGTCACCTGGACGGCTGGACGGACCAGGTGCTCCTGGATATTCTTCTCCAGCGTCAGCTTCTCTTCCTGCCAGACTGGAACTCGGACCCCTGGGATGGGTGCCTAATCTTGGCAAGGCTGCTGGGTGGCACTGAATGGGCATGGGGGTTGAGGATCAATTTTGGTTAGTAGGGGTGAGATGGGAGAGGTGCTTTGCCCCTCCAGGCTGGGGATGAGTCCACTCAGCCCCAAGACCAGTGCTGGATCCAGAGAGGGCCAGAAGGTCACAAAGCAGCTCTGGCCTGGCCCCACTGCTAAACACAGCCACAGCCACACCCCTATCTCCTGACTGTACATGGCTGGGACTGATGGTACAAACAGAACTATTGTTAAAATAATGAAATACTTCCACAGTCTTTGGTAAATAGCTGCTATTCACTTGATACCCTGGCCCTTCCCCTAAGACTCTTCAGGGCCTCCTTTCCCCAGCATGAGCATGCCCCAGCCCAATTGCCTTCCCCGTTTCAAAGACTTACCAGTTCTGACTGATAGATGGGCCTGCCCATTATTTGTTATCTTCCCACAGGCTCCCCATCCCTGGGATTCTCCAGGCAAGAACACTGAAGTGGGTTGCCATTTCCTTCTCCAATGCATGAAAGTGAAGTCGCTCAGTTGTGTCCAACTCTTTGTGACCCCCATGGACTGTAGCTCACCAGGCTCCTCCATCCATGGAATTTTCCAGGCAAGAGTACTGGAGTGGGTTGCCACTTCCTTCTCCAGGGAATCTTCCTGACCCGGGGATCGAACCTGGGTATCCCATACTGCAGGCAGATGCTTTACCATCTGAGCCACCAGGGAAGCCTCCTCAGCCCCAGTGTTAATCCCATCGCCCACCACTTCAGAGTCCTCAAATATGGGTACCCATTTCACGCAAACTCCTACACATCCTTCAAAGCCCTGCCTAAGTGTCACTTTCTTCGGGAAGCACTCCTAGATTTCTTCACCACCCCAAGAGCAAACCGCTCCTCCCACTCCCTAGGCTCCCAAGTACCTTGAACCATTCAGCACACTGCTCTAATCTCCTGCCCGCAAGCTCTCCTTCCCCACCACCTTGACACCAGGGGCCATTTTCTGCTCATTTCTGTGACCTCAATACCAATGGCAGTGCTAAGCATCCAATGGTAGTGGTTTAGTCACCAAGTCGTGTCCGACTCTTGCCACCCCATGGACTGTAGCCCGCCAGGCTCCTCTGTCCATGGAATTTCCCAGGCAAGAATACTGGAGTGGGTTGCCATTTCCTCCTCCAGGGGATCTTCCGGACCCAGGGATAAAAGCATCCAATGAATGTGCAATAAAATCTATTGAGAGGATGAATGGTTTGTTCCGGGTTCGCTGCGGTCGCAGCAGGCACACTGGGGCCTGGGCCTCTGCTGTGGTAGTCCCCAGGTGGTCCTCCCCACAGGACCCCCCTCCCACCACTGCCCACATATGGAGGCCCTGCCGGCTGGGGCTAGGCCAAGGCTGGGGGAGGCAGAACAGGATGTGAGCCCCCGGGGTGGAAGGTCAGCGGGGCCTGTTCTCATGCTCTCTGGCTGAGGAGCTGTTCTCCATCTGTCCGGGCCAGCTGCCGGGGCCGGGGCCCCGAGGAGACACAGCGGGAGAGAGGGCGATCGGGGGAGGCGCTCGGGGAAGCCCACAGTAACCGAGGAGAGAGAGGAAAAACAGGCACGCGGTGTTATTGTTACGGAACCATTAAATACAACTTATAAACAAGCCAGGACGGCGCTGGGTGGCGGGGAGACGGAGCAGGTCACGGAGGCCAGAGAGGGTCAGGGCGGCGCAGTCCGGGCTCGGTCCTGGCGGGGGCTCAGGCTGCCGTCGCCGGAGGGGCTGGGCTGACGGAGGCCTGGCTGCTTGTGGAGGCCTCGCAGCTTCGCCAGCAGCTCCTGGACGAAGTCCTGAGGACAGGCGAGGGTGCTGAGAACACGGGGGGAGGGGGAGCGCCCCGGGGGGGCGCCCCTGGCCAGCCCCGCCCTTCTGACCCGGGACCCCTCTTCTTCCTGCTCTCTGCTCAGTGAGAGCGCACGGAGTGGCGGTCAGGAGGGGCAGAGGCTCCAGATGGAGACGAACATGCCGGACGGAGAGGAAGAGACCGGAGACAGGGCGGGAGAGAAAAGGAGAGATGCAAAGAGGTGGGGAGAGAAACGAGGGGATAGAGAAAGAAACGGGGAGCCAAAGGACGACATGGGGCTCTTTCTCAGGCCAAGAGATTACCAGGAGGAGGGTCCCCAGGGGCCAGCGGCCTCAGCCAGCTCCAGGGCAGACAGATACACAGTGACGTTTGTCCCTCGGGCAGCCCAGAGCTGGTCAGAGAAACACGAATAGTTTTCCCTTTTAAAGCCGGGAAGGAAGTGGGAGGGGCTGGGCCGCTCAGGGCCTGGAAGGTCTGGGGGGCCCCTGAGAGATGGGGAAGGGAGCCCCAGGGTGCTGCAGGCAGGGATGGGGGGAGAGAGGCAGAGACAGGAGACAGATGGGGGAGCGTCTCAGCAGGGGGAGATAATGGAGCCCCCGGGGCGGCAGATGGGGGTTGAGGAGACAGGAGTGAGGAAGACAAAAGACACCACTGAGATGAGAAAAGGGCCCTGGGACAGGCAGGGCCCCCAGGGTTCCCTCTGCGGGCCCCACCAGCTTCCACCCTCCTCCCCGGAGACCACCCCCCACCCCCACCCCCACGGGTGCAGGGGACAGAACAGGGCCTAGAGTGGGGGACAGAAAACTCACCTCTGTGGGGTTCGTGCACGACTTTAGGAGCCCCTAAACACCCCCCCAACAGAAAAAAAAATATTAAATGACCAACACCTACACCCCTCCAGCCCAACAAAGCCCCAACGAAGCAAGACAAATGGACGTCCAGGTGGACTTCCCATGTGGCTTCCAGGGAAGAAATAGATCTGAGCGTCTTAGAGAGCTATTGGGGGCTAGGGATGAGTCCAGACACTCAGCCCCACAACCAGCGCTGGATCCAGCGAGGGCCAGAAGGTCACAAAGTATTTCCTCCCTCCAGGAGCATAGAGGCCAGAAGAGCAGGGACACAGTGTGCGGACTCTCAGCTCTGCTCCTGCTGAGCTGTGTGACCCTGGGCAAGTGATTAGTCTCCGGGAGTCATTTTCCTTGAAAATGGAGATAATAGTAGCGATAGTAGTGCAATGGAGATAACAGTCCCTTTGGAGGGTTTTGTGAAGATTAAATAAGTTACTAAGCTTGAAGCCATTGAAACAGTGCCTGGCACTGAGGGAGTGCTCAATAAACCCGTTAATTATTGATACGATTTTTAGGGAGACGCAGGGGAGGGGGCTATGTGCGGGGCTTTCCCTTCCACCTACCTGGATTTTCCGGCTTCTCTCTTCTTCACTCTCTAATTCCAACAATTCATCGATGTTGACCTCATCGGGCATGTCTGCCTCCTGAGCGGAGAAGGAGGGGCAGTCAGGGCCCCTTCCCCTCCCTCCCCTGTCTTTGTCCCAGGCTCCGGAGGAGCCCCAGCCACCCCAGGGCCCAGCTGGCGGGTTCTGGAGCAATAATGTGGTAGTCAGGGACAGCACCGCCAAGGCGGGACATCTGGATGTGGTGGCGGGGGCAGGGCGGGGGGGATGCCAGATGGGTTGACAGAGGCCCCAGAGCCTGAACCAGCTCGGATCCTGGCCCCTAGGTCCCGGGAGTTTCAGGCCTGGCACTGCGTTCCTGCCTTGGCCCCAGTTCCCACAGTGGGAAGCAGGCCTGGTCGAGTCTTGGAATGTCAGATTCTGGGATTCTGGAGAGGGGCTGGCTCTGTCCTTTCAAGGAAAAGTTTAAGCACTAGGTGGAGGGGAGGGAAGCTGGCAGGCTAGAGCCTGCTGGGGATGGCCCCTAGCCCCAGGGGATGGGGGTGGGGGTTGGGGTCACCCCCTGGGGCCTGAGCGCAACCCCCAAGTCCCCAAGGTGTGTGGCTGGGATAAGTCACGAGCCCAATTTTGAGCAGCCAAGAGGGGCACCCTTGGGTGGCCTCTCAGGGCAAAGGGCCAAATGCAGGCTGGCTCGGTACCCCTGTGGGGGACAGATCCCAGCTGTCTGAGCAAAGAGATCCCAGAGATCCTAGCAAAGTCCGGCTGACTCCACTGTGGGCTTCAGGCCTGGGTGGTCAGGGGATGGTGTGTGGCGTGGAGTGTCTGTAAGTGTGTAAACCGCCTATGTGAGCCTCTGTGTTTGAGACCAGGGCCAACAGGAAGGTGCAGAGATGTGTCATGTGTGTGTGTGACATTCTCTGTGGCTCGTACAGGGGCCTGTGGTCCTAAGGGTGGGCGGTGGGGGGCTCCGGATTAGCTGTGTTTGTCTCACTGCGGCACAGGTCGATCAGTAAGTGACCACAGCTTGTGTCCCTGAGAGTCTGGCTAGTTATGCCACCTACCACTAGCCACTGTCCATCAGTGTGAGCCCACACGTGTCTGAGGACAGAGGGGCCTCAGGTCACTGCAAGGGGCCGTGGCATCTCCCACCTTTGAGCTGTGCTGAGGACAATCGCTCGTCCTGTGTGTGTGTGTGTGTGTGTGTATGTGTGTGTACCTGTGACCGTAGGTGTTGGTCATTTACTTCTCAGCACGTGTGTTGTACAAATATGATTATGGACAGTGAAATGTCATGACTGTCTGGCCCACGAGACAGCAGTGGAGGCTGTAGCATATGCTGTGTGTGTTCATGGGCAGATGCAGTTTCTGCCTTTGTGTGGCCGGAGGAGCCCGTGGCTTACGCGGTTTACTGTCTGGGTGTAGCTATAATTTCTGTTATTTTATGTCTGTGCGTGGCTGCAGCATCTATCATTGCGCTTGCAAAGTGATTATCGCTTTTTTGCTTTTAGGAGATAATGGATGGTCGTTACTTGAATCACTGGGCGTCAGAGGTAGCTGTTGTAGCTTGCACCGTCTGCCACTTGCCACAGCTTTGCCGTGTGTCTGTGAACAGCCGTGACTCCGTTCTTCTGTGTGGGTCTAGTCGTGCTGTGTTTGCACATGGCCGTGGCCTGTGTTGGGGTGACTGGGAGAGCCTGCAGCGGTTGCAGAGGTTGACCTGTAAGTGCCCCCCTCGTGTGTCCTGGGGAGGCTGTGTGGGGTTGTTGCTTCTGTCACTGTGTCTGCAAGTGGCCACAGTGCGTCCCTGAGCCTGTCTGTGAACGCCAGTGCTTCCTCTGCTGCATGCTGTGGTTGTATCTCCCCCAGACACCATGTCTGTGTTTGGTTTTAAGACATCCCCCTTGTCCCCACCCTTTCTCCACATAAGGTCATTCCAGCTCCCATATGCTAAAGCCTGGAGTCTGGACCCAAGTGTGTGTGTGCACAAGCAGAGTGTCAGGGAAGGTAGACGGCGGGGCCCAGGAGTCCAGGAGGCTGCATCCTCCCGTGCAAAGGAGGCTGCACCAGGGTGCATCAATGAGAACAATCAGAGCCCCCCCAGCGCCCGGGGTCTCCCCGTCCGTGCCCCCCACCCCTCTCCGCCTCACCCTGCCGCGGTACAGCTCCTCCAAGCGCCCGTCGATCCACTTCTCCACGTCCAGCCGCCGCTGCAGCTCCCGCCGGTCGTACTTGACGGTGACGCGCGCGTGCCGCTTCTGCAGCCCCCCAGGGCTGCCCCCCGGCCCTCGGGCCCGCGATGGAGCCTGCAGCTTGCTCAGCACCCGCTTGCCCAGCCGCTGCGCTGCCATCGTGGTCCTGGCCCCGGCCCTGGCGCCGCACTGTGCGCTTTCGCCGGGCGCCCAGGGGGCCTCTTACGGGGCGGGGCGGGGCCGGCTGGGGGCGGGGGCTCGGACTCGCGGGGCGGGGGGGGCGGCCCCGCCCCGACCGCCCCGGGCCTCAGTTTCCCCGCCTGCAGCGCGAGGACTGGCCGCTGCGCCCTCGGGAAGCCCGCGGCTGTTGCTGGTTCAGGTATGGGCGGGGTCCGGGAGCCCCAGGCCCGGCCGAGTGGCTGGGGTTCCCGGGACCTGGATGGCCCGGGCGGGGCGGGGCGGGCACCGGGATGGGCTCTCGAGGACCCGGCCTTTCTTCGCCCCCTGGCGGTTTCCAGGGGCAGTGCGGGCGCCCCTGTGCTACCTACTCTGCAAGGGAAGGGCAAGCCACGGTCCTCACGGCAGGTCTTTTGACCCCTCTTTCATTTATTCACTCAACCATGTTTCCATTTGTTCGTATTCACTTTATTCAACAAATATTCTTTTGACATCATGTCATCTGAGCTGTTAGCCACCACCGCCCCCCACCCCCCGCGCCTTTCTTTCTCCCCCTCATATATCAGTCTCCTTATGCCAGATAGCATCCAGGGGTTCTCTGTCTCCCTGGTGATCACCAGGTTCCCCCTCCTCAACTTCCCTGGGCACCGAGGACAGAGCGGTGAACAAAACAGACAAGCCTAATCCTCATGGAGTCAACATTCCATGAGGTGGAGACAAGTAGTGACATAATAAGCAA